ATGCCAAAAACGCAACGGTCTCCGCGGATTTCGGCATTTGCTGCAGTTGCCTCGAGGAACTAATCTATTCTATTTTGGCTTCGATAAAATATCACGGTTCTTCAGCAAAAATCTCCAGCGTTTCAAATAGTCGTCGTCGTTCAAGTACGAAACGATGATCCTTATCCATGATTCGTGTGGCTACATGGTTTACACTCAGTCGACGGTCAGTGTCGACGCCGACGACGTCGTCGACGTCTCCATTTTAATCATGCTTACTATTTTGTCAGGATTCTTCTTCCTTTTAAGTCGGTCATTATTCAACGTCATTCAAGCATGCATTCGCACGTAGGCGTTCGCAGAACATCAGTAATGTGTCGTCAGTTGTCTCCTGTCAGTCCTTCGTGGTTGGTTGGTGTTTTTAGGTCGTAAGTTGCTGTTGTTGTCGTCGTCGTCGTCATTTCTCTGTCATTCAATGCGGCGTCCTTTCTGACGTCTACGTCGTTGTCGTCTTTGTTCCTTTTCTCTGCTGTGGCTCTCGTCGTTGTTGTATTTGAATTTTATTTGGCAGATGATGGAGCAGGTTCGTATCTCCTCCTTCCATCTTGCCGTCTCCCCGAGGTGCAAAACTCAGCTGGGCTTTGCACCGACAAGAAATCTGAAACCTCAATTGCAGGCACGTTTTTCTGTTGTTGCTCTTTCTTGGCTGGCTTCTCGGAATCGCTTTTGTCGTTGCTGCTCCTGCTGTCGTTGTTGTTGAGGCTTTTGTTGTTAGATGGTGGTGTTTGTGGCGGCAGCGGCGCCTACGCGGGTTTAGGAACACCTCAGGGAGAGAAGAGGCCGCTAACTCTTCATTGAGGCTCCGGGAAACTCACGGTGAGCGAGTTTCCACGGGTCAGATCTTCCGTCAGCAACGTACTAAGGAGTCACGGAAAGCTCGAAACGGAAAATCATCGGAAAACCTCAAACGTGTTATGTCCATCTCATTCGAGTTGTTCGTCTTCGCATCTTCTCCTTGTTGTTCTTTCCCTCGTCTGGGGATTTTTTTCGCTGATGAATGACTCTGCCGCCTGTTCGATGTGAATGGATCGGTGTTGGATGGATGGAAAACCGACGGTGGGCTGAGGGATTTTGCAGTCGGAACGGATGTGGAATCGACGCTGGTACGAGAGTGAGATGATCTCGATTCGTGAAAAAACATTGCTCCCGGCTTCCATGATGATTTGGCTGGAAGAATCTTCTTCGGTTCCGGTGAGCGTCTAATGTGGCTCTCGGCCTTCTACCAGCTGACCGGACGCCGCTCAAGACGTAAACATCCTGTTCGAGAAGGAAGGTGAGAGCTGTTGCCAGTCCGGGGCGTGAATCCTGACGTTGGCCGGCCACGGATCCTCTTCCAACCCAGACAGCGCATCGGAGGCCTTTGGAAATTCGGCTCGCGGAGGGGGAAATCCCTTGGTTTGGGGCACAACTCCCTCTCTCCGTAAATTGTGTCGCTGCCTGTGGTGTCGCGCACAGGTGGTGATTGCAAATCCGGAGATGTCGACAGAAATGTGAGTTCTGGTTTGCTTATACTACGGCTTTCTTTCTCGGACAGTGTTTTGAAAGTTTGAGAAATGACGTCGGAAAGAAACTGGCAGTGTTGAGGCTTTTCCGTCCCGTTGAACTCGACGATGAGGGATAAAGCTTCGTCGATTTTGGAATGCGCATTCTTTTTTCGTCTATCGCCCGCAGCGTAGACTCTCGGACGTTAGTACAACCACCAACCCGTCGACACGGAGCCGCGTTCTTGACGTCATGTCCGATCGGCCCAATGATTGAGGCGGAGATTTCGAACGACATCCCATGCGGAATATTTCCACTCGGCGGCTCTCGGAGCGTTTTTTTTTCGCGCTTCTCTCGCTGTCGAATCGGGCACGGAAGGCCAGGTAAGTGATCACAGTTCATAGTTTTCCACATCGCTCGCTGTTTGTGAGGAGGGCGTCATATGTAGACGGCAGAGTTCGCATTTGTGTATAAGGAGAAGGAGAAGACGACAACGTGTAACTCGGAATTGATTTGATTCAAAAGTGTCGACAGATACAGTAGATGATGGGTTTTAGACGTATAAGATGGGTCTCCATTGTGTGTAGCTCTCTCTTTCAGTGGTTAGTTCGCGTGGTTTCGTCGAGATGACCGTAACCGTTCCCCCGCGGTTCCAAATGAGTACTCGGTGCCCGGGTCAGTCGTTCGTGGCTGGCTGACTCCGAGCGGCCGATCGTTGGTTGGCTGCTTGCTCGGTGGGCAGGTCGCTTGGTTCCATTGGGGAAACATCGATCCGATCTCGGAAGTGTTGGTACGTATCATTTTTTTTCCTCGTGCATTCATCCGACCGCTTCTACTCCGCTCAAGAACCTCGAGGGCGTGATTTTGTTTTTATCATTTCCATCGGTTCGTTTGCTCCGGTAGCGATTGAGAGCAAACGACTTCCGTTGCCAGACTCCCGAAGATCGTGGCTCATGCCGATGAGCCTGTGTTGTTGCTATCGGCAGTGATGAGAGTTGTCGGGAGAGAAACAACTGGAAGAATCACGCCACTCGTTCTGGAGTAGGTTATCTGCGATGAAACGGGAAGATCGCTTCGATCTCTCAGATTGCTTTCTGAATGTTGAAATCAGTTGTTGGTATTCGGCTGCGTTTTGTTGTTGGTTCGGTTCGTTTTTTCTTAATTCGATATCATCGGTGTCGATTGCTTCAGGACGTTTCCTTGGATAGATTTTCGAAATCGTCGTATCGATTTAGGTTTTGGCGTTTGGGTCGCTGTGTATTCAGCTCATGATCATCTTCATTCTCTTTGAGCGAGAACGTTCAAAAAACGTGGAAAAATCAATGCGGCTGTAAGAAACTCCAGCAATAAGTCTGACGCATGCCGTCCTGACGCCAGAGAGGCTACTTGGCTCGGGATCTTCTGAAGTTCTTCAGAAACTTCGGTTCTTCAGCTGAGTCCCGGTTCCCTCTCGTGGCCGATGACGTCAGCGTCAGCGGTGTTTGTTCGGAATTTTTCCAATTTCTACGTTTCCTCTCGAGTTGATAACGGTCTCGAAAATCGATATCTGAACGATGATTTCGATCGGGTCTTGATCGCGGTCATGGTAGGTAGTCGCTACGGTAAGCTTTCCGTCCAAACATGCTTCCGTCAAAATAAGAACGTTGTAGCAGCGCTCGGTGGTGCTAACTGCTGAGCCAGGACATTAGCAGTCGCTTCGCTTCGATCACTGGGAATCCTTTCTTGGGAGAAGTAGAAATTCAGGAATAATTATGAATTGCAGAAACGTCAATCGATCGAGCGACCAAGCGTCCGTCCGTCCGATCGACGGACCGACGATGGCGACGACGATCGACGCAAAAACGATGAACGTTCTGCTACAGGACCGAATTACGTACAGATGAATTGAGTGGCGCGTGCGTCTGCGGGCGCCGCGCGAACTCCGGACTCGGTTGGCGTCCGAATCTCTCAAAATAGGAGAACAGACGAGGAGGGAGGGTGGAAGGTGTGTTTCACGGAAACTCTTCGAAGAGCGCTCCGTCTCGAACAATTGGTGTGAATGGAAATCTTCCCGATCGCGTTAGCGTCGTCTCGTTGTTCGCTCGACGCTCGGCGGCGGGGACGTTACTTGCGAGTCTGCGACCGTCCCCCGGATTGATTTTTCTTCTAAATTTTCGTCCGTTGATTCCTCGGTCGCGTATCTTCTTGATCGAATCGGGTTCGGAATCACGGCTCGGTGGGAAGTCACATTGTGAGAGCGTTGTTGGTGGGAACGTCAATCGGTCGAAAATTAGGAGCTGTAACGTAGATCGAGTTCTATCCGACTTTGACACGATTCTGCGTCGCGTTCAATTCGCTGTCCGTTCTGGATGAATTGGTTCGCAATAATTGCTTCGGTCAGTCGGTGCTGACAGAGTAACTCTTGACGCGCGTTCCTGACATTGAAAATTCGTTCGGCTGATGAGACCATAGAAGGAGGCATGACAACACAGGGTATTGCAGGCGGTTAGGCAGCATGATTAGGGCGATTGATGGCTTCATCATTACTCGATGAGCTCGAGGATGAGCGCTACGGCTAAGATGAATGAAAACGACGATCACGATGAACATGATGATCACCAACACGTTGGTGAGTACGACAAAGGCAGTCTGTCGATGATATTGATCGATTGATCTACCGCTTGATGGTTCTATCAATCGATCGATCGATGGGATGAATCTCGGGCGGGAAGAGTCGACGTTCATGTCCGTGATCATGAAACATACGTGTCCATGACGACCTCAACTCCGTCATTCGATGCTCCGTCTTTTGTACAATTATTGTGACAGGACTAACGGACGGTAATTGGACAACAATGATTGGCTGGCTTGCTCGCTCGCTTGCTTGCTTGCTAGCTGTCTAATGGTCGGTTATTGCTGAGTTGCAAAACTTCAATGAAGAATCGATGAATGAACAGCGATTGATCTCGATCATTCCATCACTGATTGATAGGAATCATCATCATCATTGATCGATCGTTTGAATCGCTTGATGTGACTATTCGGATCGATCGGACCTGGTTAGAGTTCCGTTCTCTCTTCATATTCGGTTGAATTCCTTCCTCCTATTCTGATTCATCGATGAAGGCAAACGTGGTGATGAACGGAAAAAGTTTTGCTTCTGAGATCGCGTCTAGTTAAGGCACCTGGTCGAACGGGAACTCTCTGAACCTATTAACCGGTTGGAGAGGAATCGATCCCCATTCGTTTGGTTGCGGCGGCGGCGGCGGCGGTTGTCGTAGAAGTAGTAATAGAAGACGTGACGGTGGTCGGTTTTGCGTAGTATTGTTTCGAAGAAGGGTCCGCTTGAGTATCAGCAAGCTACGGTTAAGCGACTTAGCCGTATTTCAGACTTCCTGATGGGAAGGTACTGCGAAGCTCGTCCTTGCAGTACCCAAGCCGACCATCCCCGGCGGTGGCGGAGCCTCCCGACAGTGCTGGAGCGGTCGGAACTCGTGTCGTCATGCAGCCGAAGACGAATCTTTAGGCTCGGCCGTCATCCTCTTAGCCATATCGGCGATCACCTCACGGAAGATCATCGAATCGAGGTTTTGGCCGAGCATGTAAATCAGGAACCAATCACCAAGAGAACCCCGTCTCACCACGGTGTGAAAGTGGTCGTAGTGTACGAGTCGGAACCGCATGTTCAGCAAGTAGACGCGTACCGGCGGGCACGCGGTCAGAATGACTCGTTGTAAAACTACGAACCCCGTGAGTATAGACAGGATTATGAACCAGAACCAAAGAAAAATATAGATTTTCTCATTGACAATATTTAGTGGTAGTATACAGATGGCGTCGTGGGTCTCTATAGTACCCGAATGACCGAACTTATAGAACTGGCATTTGGCGACCCTCGGGAAGATTCGAACCATGGGATCTAGTCTCTCTTCGTCTCCCTGGTCCATGAAGCGAATCACTTCAAGTCCGTAGGTGAGGAACTCCCCCTCGAAGAATTTGTCCATAAGGAAAATTTGGCCGACCACGTTGGCGAAGGCCATGAATTCGCAGGTAAAGTACTTGGCCACGTACCAGTCGTGTTGACGTAGCGAGTTGACGAGATAATCGACGAGCAGCTTCTTTTTATGCTTTCTCTCCGTTTCACCGCACATTCCTACGTCCAGGTCCATCATAAGCGTTTGTATCTTGCCTCCTTCCCATAGCTTCCATAGCCAACGAGGAATATAGAAGAGTGTCGCCTGGAAAAACAGCATGAAGCACACCCATTGGTAGTATTTATGGTATTTGTGGTCACTTGGCGAAGAGTCCGCTGATGATCTTGACCCCACACCGGGGTACACAACATCCTTTTGGTGACTTAGATGCATGAGCGACTTGACCGAGTAGGTCGCGTGGATCCAACAATAGGTATTGATGACGCTCTGAGGGACCTCCGCGGACCGGACGCAGTCGATGGGATCTCCTACATACTGCTTCGTGGTGACTACTATACAGAAAGCAAGCAGGATCACACAGGTCGCGGTGTAGTGCAGTCGGAATACATCATTATCGATGTGCACTCGCGATACCTTTAAGAGAGACTTCACTGAACGGATAACATCGAGCATGGCTGACGAGTGTTCTGACGCGGGCGGTGGTGGAGCCCGTCTCAGCGGCTGGGGCGGCCCAAAACGATGAATTCCGTCGGAATATAAGTACCACCCGTAGAGAAAACGAGTACAACAATTCAGGAACTCGTTTCTTTTCTGATTTTCTAGAACAGATCGCTCGTGGGCTTCTGCCGCTTTTCTGCGCAGTCGAGCCGACGAAAGCGATTCCGCTCGATGATCTTCTTGCTTTAGTTGCTGTTGTTCTTGCTGTTGACTTTGACAACGACGTTGACGAACTGAGTTTGAAACAACTTCTTGATAACTGCTCGGAACGTCTCCGTTCGACGATATCCTCGCACTTGTTGTTTCTGTTTTTGCTGTTGTTGATGTTTTTTTTCTTGATTGAGATGACGGTGACAATGAGAAAAATTGTAATAAGCTTGATGATGAATATTTTTCGTTGTTCGGCTGAAACTGGAGACCACACTGACACTTCTTGTGACTGAGAGGGCGCTCGGGCCCCGGGCCCTCGACGCCCCTGCTGACGGAGTTCTGTTTCGCTCCGGCTTTCTTGCTTTCGTTCGTTTCCGAGTAAAAATGACAATAGTAATAATAGGCAACTATCCGCTTCAACAAGTTCAATAAAACTGTTCTGACCTTCCGGTCCACGTGCACTGGACCACCGCAGGGAACAGCGGCTTCGTAACGTTCTCGCAACAGCTGCTCGTGACGCTGTTGCCGCGGCTGCTGCAGGAGCAGCTGCCGCTGCGATTCTTGCTCTTGTTGTTGCTGCTGCTGTTGTTGTTGTCGTCTTCGTATTCGTTCGTGGTGCAGATCGGAGTAGTTGTTCTGGCAAGTTGAGGTGGGTGAACAACAACAGATATTGGCAGAAATAATCGGCACAGTGGAACAACAACAACAACAACTTGTGAACAGGTTTGAGGCAGTAGTTGTGGAAGTAGTAATAGTCGTAATAATTGTAGAAGAAGGAGAAGTACACTGTTTGCTTTGTCGTTTGTCGCTGCAGCTGCTGCTGTCGCTGCTGCAATTGTTGAAGAACTGTTGAGTAGTAACAAAGTAGTATTCGTCGGGCGGTGCTCGCTGAGGATCGGTGTCTGAGGTAGATTTGCGCCGGAGATGATGACTTGTTGTCGAAGTACTGGCATTGCAAACAACGGAACTCGTCAGCCACCAGCGAATGTTCGACTGATTGCCGTGTGCGCATGACATGTTTTGTCGTAGCGAGAACACAGGAGCATACAGTTGCGTCGAGGCGTCGCTGAGGTGATCTGTTGAACTGATTTCCGATAAGCCCTGACAACAGCAACAACAACAACCCTTGCAACAAGGTACCGAAAAACCCAAGATGGCATCGAAGCAGTGAGATGAGCGGATTCGTCGTATGTTTCTCTACTCGTTCGATTGATTGATCGATCGATCGATCTGTCGGACGGTTGGTTGGTCACTCGCTCGCTCGTTTGGTCAGCTGCTTGCTTGTCGGACCGGCCGTTCGGTCGTTCGGTCCCGCCGTCCGTCCGCCTGCCTGCCTGCCTGCCTGCGAGAGGAGTTCTCCGCTGTCCTTCTCTGCTAATTCCGTTGGTCTGTTGACAAATCAACGACTCGGTCTTCACACGGGTATCACTGTCCTCCGTGTTCCGGTTCTCGGACTTCTGGGACACGGGAATAGATCACTCGCGTAGGATCTCCCCGCGTTTTTGAGGATTTGAGGCTTCCTCTTTGGATCGGGACACGGTTTTTAGGACTTGCTCCTCTCTGCGTCGGCTTGCTCGAGGCTTCAGTGAATCGTCGAGGTCTTTTCCGGGTTCGGTTTATGGTATGCTTGTGCTCAATGGGACAGCAGCTGATTTCGGAACGACAATCGACTAGCTGACGCCATCGGTATTGCTGTTGTTGATCGACGAAAATTCTTATCGCTGTCCTCGTTGTTGCTGCTGCTGTTGTTGCTGTCACTCTACTTCTCCTAGCTCGTCACCACCTCAGGATCCCAGTCCGAAGCACCCCATCGCGCACCCTCTAGCCCGGAGGGCGTCTGTGGGCGCCCCCGATCATCACGAGCATTCTCTGGCTTGAGGGTCCAATGATTTTCGTTCTAGGAGAACACACTGGAATGAGCACGCACAGCTCCAGAGAACGAAAAACCGATTCGTTGTCGCCGCACAACACAATCCTCCCTGTCCGTTCCCTGGAAGAATCCAGACGTTGTTTCACGAACGTTTCCGTCCGTCGGCAGTCGTCGCACCGTTTTGTTGAGGACGAATTTCGGGGAAATTGGAGTTTGAATACGGTCGAGAAGATGAACAACAACAAGAAGAAGTCACACTTCACACTTGAAACACACGCATTCACGCATCGACTCGAGTCTGAATTAATGTGGCCCGTCGGCCATGAATTGTTGTCGTTTGACGTCAAACCCTCCAAAATAGTCGTTCGTTCGTAGTTTGCACCTTGCAGTCATTTCATTCCCTGTGGAATCATCGAACGTGAACGTGCTTCTCGAACAATCGTGCTGTCGTCGTCATCGGTCATCTGCTGGACTGCCGCTATCGCAGAATGTGTCGCCCTTGCCGTTTGAGCAGCGGTTGCTGTTTAAGAATCACTTGCAGGTCGACCAGTTGCGGTTGCGCCTGCTGTTCCTTCTTATTGAATGGTGCTAATAGTGGCGGTGGCAGCAACAGTAGCGGCGGTCGCAGAAGCAGCATCAGTTGACGTGGATGATTGACAACAACAACGACAACACGACTTGCAGCAGCACATCCAACGGCAAACACACAGTCACTGTTTCACATCTCGTATCATCCCGCATTCATCACTACTACGGCAAGCAATCCGCACTCTGCGCGCCACTATTCCATTCGAACTGGCTGCAGAGCTCGAGTCGGCTCGCTCGCTGACCCAGACCCTTTCACTTGAGCGGCAGAGGGCGAGGACGGACCCCTCGCCGAACCTTGGGAGAGAGACAGACGTTCAGGGCTTAGGACCTAGGTGCTTGCCTGCCTGCCCGTCTGCTTGATTGCCGTTGTCACTGGCTCTACGGGACTGGTAGTATGGGAACGAGCCAACGTGATTCTTTCTTCTTCCACCACCACCGCCGCCGCCGACGTCGTCATCCCACCCCCGCGCAAGGTTCGGTGGGTCCTTACTCCCTTCCTGCCTTCGAATGGAAATATCGAGATCATGATAGAATTGAACAGTATGGCAGCGAGGGAACGCGTCCGCTCAACAAAAGTCCTGAGAAGGCAAGACAAAGAACAAGACAAGGAGTCAATCCAATTCATCGCTTTGCAAAGTAAGTATGTAAGTCGGTTCTCATCCATCTAAGAAATCGTCCCCTCGAACACGCCTCGGTCGAAGACTTCCCACCTCTATCCCCCCACAGGGACGAAATGCCACCTGACCCGGGAGAGCGGGCAAGGTCGACGGACCACCGTTCCCGTCGTCGTCGTAAAAACTGACAGCGAGCACGGCTGCATTATTGCGGGAAGAGGCGGAGATTACGGAGCGACTCGAGCGCATTTGCATGGATCAGATAGGAAACTCGAGTAAGAAGCAAAACCACTTCTCCAACATGTCACAGGGTCCCGAACGAGTTTCGCGCGCGCAGACTGGGTATTTCGCGGTTCGTCGTCGGCGTCGTCGACGTATTGAGCAAGCCACATAGCACACGGCTGGCTTGACGGTATCGTTGTCCCCGCTCTGTTCTTCCGGTTAGGCGCAGAGGAGATGGAATTCCGCAGCTGCGAAATCTAGACGTACGGTTTGTTTGCTCGCCGCCTCGCTCTCTGTCGCTTTCTTCCACGAACGAGCCAAGCTGGGAGACCTCCCCCAGCTGCTTTTGGGGGGTCCCCGAGGATCTTGTCGAGGGGCAACGCCGCGAAATGAAGAGCAGATTTGAAAACGCCTCCTAGAAGCTTCTCCAACATTTGTAAAGCCGACGTCTTGTCGCTTCGTCTCCGACCGAGGCTGTTGCCGCCGCCGTCAATCCGTGTTGGTAGTGTCTCGTTGCTGCTGCTGGTACCGCCGCCGCCGCCGACGTTGTTGTTATTATCCGAAACTATAAAAGTTTATTTATGGGGGTCACTTATAACTGCACACAGTCAGGGCGCTCTGAGCGTTCGGTTCCTTTGCTGGTTCGCCCGAGCTTGTCATTGTTGCTCGAATCTGTGTCTGCTCTCGGACTCGATGTGAATCTGGCTCGGCCCGCGGTTCCGAAGGCCGTCGACGCTTCCGGAAATGTTGTACACAGGAGAAATTCTATCCCGTTACGTGTGGGTAACGATGATCTACGAGATGCTCGTGAGAAATTCTTCCGCACGCGGCGAGTCAAGATCTATAATAGTTATGCTGCCGAGAAATAATCAAGACGGCGGATCGTCTTACCGCAAAGCACCATGTACTCCAGCTGCAAAACTAACCAGAGACACTGATTGCTCTCCGGTACGGTAAACATAGATATACAAGGAGGAAACGAGACACGCTTCGCAAAGATGACAGATGTTTACACACTTAACCTCAAACGAAAGAAATGAAGCCCTTGCACATCACAACGGACCTACGGTCTGTGGCTTTCAGTGTTTACACGTTCGGAACACAGCGAAGCCGCTGAAGCACCACGAATCGGCCCCTTTGAACGGTGTAGGGCTTCGCTGTTTATAAAAAGCGAATAGCTACCAGGCTGGAATAGTACATGTCTTGTTCTCTCCTGCCGGCAGAACGTCGGAGCTTCCCGACGGGAAAGAAAATCCCGGCTGGGAGCAAAAACAGAAATTGGATTAGAGGAAGAATTGCTCTTCTAAGATGGCTTCGTCCTGAAGTCTTCGCAGAGAACATTCGGATTCCAATGACCGGAGAATATCACAAACGAAGTCATGTGGCAACTGTCGTTGTCGATGAGAAACTCGACATGTGCGACTGCTGGGGCATAAACGGCTCCTCGACGATTGAGTTTTTCCGAGACTCTTGCGACTGACGTTGGGACGGCAGAAGCTCGACTCCGGTGG